GCGCCCGGCTTCCACTCGAGTGCCGCCGCTCGCGGAGCAGCCTCTCTGGAGCACCCGGCTCCAGCCCAAGTGCCGCCATGTACGTGACTTCCAGGGGGACCGGAGTGCGGGGCGCCTCTGCTCCATCACAACCTCCCTGGACCGGCATTACTGGGACCTGACCAGTCCCGAATGAGAAAATTTGCACACCATAGGAGGTCCCCTGCCACCAACCCCCAAATCTTTCTCAGCAGCCAACCCTGCCTCGCCCTGCCCATGCAACTTGGCTGGGCTACTTGCCCAGCTACTGCAGGATCCCTGGGAAGCAGAGGTTCCTGCTTTTGCAGCAGGCTTCATTCCTGCACAGCCAGGGGGTCTGGAGCTTCAGTCCTGGCCCCACACAGTCCTGGCCCCATCCCGATGGAGCCTTGAGAATCCACTGAGCTCTGACCCCATCACCATGCAGCCAGGGGAAGCTAAGGAGCTCTGACCCTGCACTCCTTTTGGTTGCCGTAGGGGCTCTGGACTCAGCCCCGCATGGCTGTAGCCTGCTGGAGTCTGCTCCGGGGCTCCAGTCCCAGTCCTGCACTGCCCCTGTGCTGCCCTCACCTCTGATGCCCTGCCGGCTGGTCCTCCTGTTACTGGATCTTGAGGGGAGCAGCCAGATCACTGATGCACCCATAGGTGGGGGTGTTGGCCCCAAAAATGGTATAGAAGGAGGCCATGTGAGGTATTGAATAGAAGCTTACTGTCTGATAATCCTATGTACGCTGTTCATGTGTTTGTATAATGTCTGTGTGTGCGGCACGGATATTGCTGGGGTGACAGAGGGGTTTTGCTCGTGAGGCTTCAGGCAGGCTACTGAAGCGCTCTGTGGGACTGGTTTGTGGCCTGTTTGGAGAGTTCACCAGTCTGGGAGCTGTTAGGAGCCCTGGATTTGAGCAATTCGCCATGAGCAGACGCCCTCAGCTGTGCCCGGGCACGTCCCGGTCCGTCACAGAGGTACAACCTGTACTTATACATCCGAAGAGTGGAAAGACTCAGCTGGTGCCCATCTAGCTCCTGAGTTCTCTCATGATGTCGCTGACAATGCAGAGTTCTCACCAGTGCTGTTTGTGCCACACTGAAAAATTAAGTTCATATTAAATAAATTGTACACATTCTTCTGTGATTGTTCTTAGTGTGACTATTTTCTCTGCACAGGAACTTTCAGACCAGACTGCAGCTTGATCTTCCCTAAGCTTTGAATCCTTTGTCTCTTTGTCCAGCATAGCAATTTTCCTAGCAGGAGAGAGCAGTGTGACTCCTCTCCAGCTGTTAGTCAGTGAGATCACCCTTCTTCAACACCCTCCAATAAGTCCAGGTTTTAACCTCTCAGGAGGGGTCTCTTTTCTCCACATATTGTAACAGGTCTGTCAGTTTTATGAGGGTCATGGGGTCCAGTTCTTTTAGCACTTCCGCTGTGATTTAATCTTCTTGTGTTTGTTGTTTTCCAGCTGCCTATTTGCAGCTCCCCAGCAGTGGAGTTTCTCTAGAGTCTCTTTCCCCTTTTTCAGGACCTCCCCGGTTTTATCTCCTGGGGGTTTCTCCATCCCCACCAGCCAAAAGAACACTGGGTGGGGGTGTATCCCCCCAAAATTCTGCCACCACCCACAGATCCTTGTACCAGTTGCACTCCTGCGGGCGTCCCTTTTCCTGTGCCCCGTTCTCTTCTGGCTTGGGGTCAGAGTCAATCTTAACATCCTGCTAGACCCTCTGAGCCTCAGTTTTTCCAAGCTGCTCAGTGGAGTTTGAGTCTTCTATCTAGAGAGCTGCTGAGTTCCAACTTCCCCTTTTGTCCTTCTAAGGGGTTTTGGGTGGCCATGGCCACCATGAATCCTTCCCCTCTGTCTGCTCTTTCTGGGCTCTGTCGCCTAGCATGCTCTGATTCACTACTGCCTGGGCTTTGGTCCCCTTTCCCCCGGGGCTTCCTAGGCTAAAGGTCCCCACTCCCTCTTTCGGGGCATCATTAGTTTTCCTCTAGTTGGTGGGTCCTAGTCCTTATTTAATGCCCTTAGATGTGGAAACTCCTCTGCTACTCTGACCTGTTTCCAGTTAAAGGTGTCCTGCACTTCTGGGAGCACTTGGGTCACTGGGTTTGACCTCTTATCAGTATGCGTACACTGTGTGGCCAATGACGATGATTTACCTGTTTCCTACGTATAAGTGAGCAGGCTGACGTAGTGTACACTAGACCCCTCAGGGGTTTCCTCCCCACCCTCACTGGGATGGTGGACAGCCTCTATCCCTTTGTCCACACACCAGCATGAAACTAGCAATAAGATTCGGACCTTTGCATTCCATATCCAGGCAATCCTGTTTTTTGTGTCCTAGCTGCCCACACAGCCAGCAAATTATCATGCTGAGTCTACTGGGTGTTCATCAAGGTTCCTCCTTCCTGTCCAGGCCTTTCCTTGGAACAGATTCCTCTGGCTTCCTCCCCAAGACATTGTTCTCAGAGTGTAAACTCTCTCTGTCTGGGGGACATGTATTTTTGGTTAACTTCTCTGCATTGGCATATATTTCTTGGTCAGCTTCTCTGCATTGACCGTCGTGGGCTGGTGGCATCCGACCCAGACTCAGATATTCTTGGAGAGGCCCCATAATAATTATTCTAGGATGAGTGTCCATTATTTCCCCCACTGATCACATTTTTGGCCTCACCAGTGGCTGGCCCAATCCACGAGCTTTCGGTGACTGTCCAGGGCTGCACAGCTGCAGGCCATCTGGCCGCTCTGAAATTTTGGCAACGATTTCCACCCGCAGTCCCACCTGGTCGAGGATGGCTGCCTTCACCATCTCATAGTTCTGGGCATGCTCCTCACCAGTGTTCCTTCTAAGCTGTGTGGCAGCAAAATTTGCCAAGTCCCCCTACTCTCCCTCGCCGGCGCAGACACCAGTAAGTCAACCCCAATTGTGGACCGATCCTGCCAGACTCGGGGCAGGCCACCAGGGTGTAGGGAGCACCTAGGACGGAGACCTTGGGTGAGGGATGACGGAAGGGCGGGTCAGCGGCCCGGCTCGGCCCGGAGGGGGTCGCCCCAGCGCCACGCCCCTCCACATAGAGGTAAAAGTATAACCTTTATTAGTCAACATGTAACTGTCTGTCTGTCTAAAGAAAAAAATAATCTGGTTTTGTATACTGAGATTGGAAGATTGACGTGGCATGATCTGTATCTCATGTTAAACGTGAAAGTAAACTAGGAAAAGGTTATGAATAAGAACATACCTGAAATAATATCTCAAGGGCCCAAATATCCCCCCGGCAGCAGAAGGGGAAAAAATCTGAAATAAGGACCTATGCTCCTTTGATTCTACATGGTCAGCTCTGCTGATGGGTATTCTGGGATGCAAACATGCCAATAATTGAATGGCTGTTCTGTTTGAGATCATTAACATTTATTTCTATACATATTCTCCTTCCCAAGTGTCTCCTGGCTCATGGCTGGATCACATCAGAGGCTGGTTCACCCACAGGGATGACTTCAACATTCTCTTCCTTACCTTTGAGGAGATGAAGAAGGTGAGACCAGTCAATCACTTTATAGCTCTGATAAATAGTAAACAAATGCCTCCCTTGTTCCCTGTTTTTACCACCCTTACTCATGCTGAGTTGTGCTTTAGTCTGTGAGACGTTTCATTGATTGCACAGAAGAAGGTACATCTCAGTGATTTCAGTGAGTGTCCTTGTAAAAGTATGTCTCAGTGCAAAGGGGGAAGAATCAGAATAATTGGGTGAGATCCTTAACTCAGTTTGGCATTCAATAGCATGTAAATGCCTAGTTCACTATATCATAACAGATCTCCCCTACTTCCAATTTGCAATGGTTTGCCTTGCTATTCTTCTGTCAAACTTTCATGCTATTTTACACACTGATAGGGTATGTCTACACTATGGGATGAGGTCAAATTAAGATACTTTAATTGCATGGCTTCAACTACTTTAATTGAATGGCTGAAGATGAAGAACCTTAACTCAGCTTTTGGTGCTGCCCACGCCGCAGAAACCTAAGGGAGAATACTCTCCTTTCGACTTCCCTTATTCCTCATGGAAGTAGGGCTACTGGCATGGATTGGAGTGCCCCTTTCAGTTCAAATTAGTGGGTCTTCATTAGACCCCCCTAAATCTAACACTGGAAGGTTGACAGTAGCAGCTACGATCTTCTCTGTAGTCTAGTGAATGAAAATCTTACTTATGAAATTGTGTAGTAAAGTTTAAGGTCCCAACGAAGAAGTCACCTTTATTCTTCAGTGCTCTAACCCTATTCTTCATTTTACACATTTGTTTAAGGATCCCGTTAGCCTTTACTCAATCTCTTTATTTAGTTTTTTTTATTTCTTAAAGCTAGGAAACTCACTTTAAAATAATGTTCATTTCAGGATCTCAGAGGCGCTGTGCTGAAAATCTGCAAATTCTTAGGAAAGCAGCTAACAGGAAAGGAACTGGACACAGTCGTAGAAAAGGCTTCATTTGATAACATGAAAAGGGATGCCAGAGCAAATTATGAAAGCATGCCAGAAAGTGTCCTGGAACGAGGCAAAGGACATTTCCTTCGCAAAGGTAACACAGCGGCTGCGAAGTCTAATCAATATTTATTCTTCCTAATCCTGGTTAGGTCATGTTGAGGCTATCAACCAAGGACTTCCAAACACAACTTTCTGTGCTTGGGAAATAACTGGATTTAGGGAATTACTACTGTTATTTCCAAAGAGTTTGATTAGAAAGAGCTGGACAAAAACTGGTGAAAGGGTTCAATGATAAAACTATCAGTATTTCAACAAATGAAAATTGTCAATAAGCTCTTTTAGGGTATGTCTACACTACAGTGTTAATTCGAGTTAACTTTATTCAAAATAGTTTATTCGAATTAAGATAATTCGAATTAACACATCTACACAGGTAAGGCAGCGGCAGCCAAGTCTAATCAATATATAATCTTCCTAATCCTGGTTAGGTCGTGTTGAGGCTATCAAACGAGGAGGTTTAGGATGGAGAGGCGGGAGGGGGAGAAGGAGTGGGAGGAGGAGCGGGAACTGGGAAGGCAGGAGGAGCAGGAGCAGCATGAGGCAGCACGCTCTGCACCTGGGTGTGCAGATGGGCACAGATGGCATGACCCTGGGCAAGCAGCTCCCACCGGAACTCCTGTTCTTCCTGCACCTGCTGCTCCATGATGTGGGTCTGGTCTCGCAGGTCCGCAGTTCTCCCTGGGGACGCAGTGGATGATGCCCAGCCCCGCTGCGAGGTGAGGGTGACCGTGCTCTGAACCGTCAGAGCTGATGTGCTTAAGAGAAGTGGTCAGTTCTCCCTGGGGACACAGTGGGTGAAGCCCAACCCCCCCTCTGCGAGGAGAGGATGACCGTGTCCTGCACCGTCAGAACCATTGTGCTTGCCCAGAGGCCATGTTCAGAATGTCCAGCTATCCCTGGGATTGGGAGGTTCCCCGAGACCGCACCCATGCCCCTGTGCTGTGTATAGTGTGGCTGAGATGGGGGGAGGTGCCTCCTGCCTCTTTGTAGAGGGGTGTGTGTGAAGGGAGGGTGTCCTGCTGTGTCCTGCCCCAGGGTCCGGACTGTGTCAGGTTTCTTCACACACACGTATGCCTATCAGGCCACAGCCCCTGGGTGTCATGCAGCTGGAGCCACCTTCCCAAGGGTGGCATGGAACATGCTCGCACGTGCACAGGTTGCTGCGTGATGTATGGTAGGCAAGGGCTACGTGCGGGGTCTCTGTTTTCCCTCCCCCGAGTAGGGGATGGTGATGGCACTTACTTTGTGTGGCCTTCACGGACAAGCCTGCTGACTCCGGTGCTGGGACAGCTTGGGGGTCCTGCCAGCGTGGCACCCTCGGTGATATCCCTTCTGCCATGCGCAGTTCAGGGCCGTCCAGTCAAGGCTCGCTGTCCCCTGTGGTGGTGCGGGCCATCCTGCCCCCCAGGATGGGGTCGAGGGCAGGAAAGTAGGGGCAGGTGTCAGCCACTGCTGAAGCACCGCCCCTGGTGGCCCTGGCGTATGCCTACCGCAGCTTCTTAACTTTGAGGCGCACCTGCTCCTGCATGCGCCTGTGGCCCTTTCTGGCTATGGTGGCCGCTTTCCTCTGCCTAGTGAGGAGACCATGGACATTGGGGGCCTCCCCCCAAACCTCAAGGAGGACCATGATCTCTGGGTACAGCTGAGGACATCCACTCAGGGTGAATTGCTCAAATTCAGGGCTCCTTACAGCCCCCAGACTGGAAACCCTCCCAAATAGGCCAATAACCAGTCCCAGAGCGCTTCAGCTGCCAGCCTGAAGCATCACGAGCAAAACCCCTCCGACACCCCAGCAATATCTGTGCCCCAGATGGCCCCAAGCCTCACACACAGGTGAGGGGCCTAGAACCCAATCTCACCTACCCCGAACAAGTTCTGTCCAGTTCCAAGAAACCAGACAGATCCCAGGTCAATTTATCCTCTGGACTTTACCCACAAATCACGCTGAGCCAATCCTTTAGCATCTAACATCTAAAGATTTAGTGCTGCAAGGAAGAAAAACATGAGAGTAAGGTTGTTAAGGATAGTACGTTACATGCATAGAATCTCCCAGTTCTCGATGCAGGCTCTAGCAGAGATGTTATAGCTGCTGGATTAAAAGTCCTTGTTGCACATCCTAGGTTAGGATGGGTCCACAGGTCTTTCTGGCTCTTCGATCTCAGCACTGCTGCCTCTGGGATCAAGTGCTGAGCTGAGTACAAGATGGAGATGGCCACATGGCAAATTTATACCTCCTTCATGGTTTCTTCCAGGCTGGCTAGAGAGCCACATGGCCAGTGGCCAGGTGTGTCTTTGGCCTTCATAGGCCCATTGTTCCCTGGAGCTTTGCTCATTAGCATGTCCATAGGCAAACATTCCTAGCTCATTACTCAAGCACATTCAGAGAGAATTCCAGTCCCCATACAAAGTACAGATCCCTAACTCCATACACAGACATTATACAGATATATAAAGAGCAGATACTGAATCAGAAGAAAGTAAGCTTTTGTTTGACCCCTTACATGGCCCCCTTTTTACCACTTTTGGGGCGAACACGCCCCCATAGGTGCAGCTGTGACCTGGCTGCTCCCCTCATAATCCAATAACGTGACAGGGGTATTGGAACTGATTTGTCTCTGCAGTTGCTAAGAATAATTTAGAGCACAGAATTAACCACACATAAGATCTAAGGGTGTGTTTATACATCACCCTGAACTCAAAATAAAACTGCATGTCTTATTTTGAATCTATTTTGAAACAGCGTATTTAGAAATTGTTCTTCTAACATTTGCAGTGACATAAATCAGTACAAGGAGATAAGAACTGAGCTATATAAAACTACCGGTATATAAAGCAGATTGAGTGAAATTATCTAGAAAGAGCAGGTCAGAGAGGAGATGTATGCTCCACTGGAAAAAAAATCCAGGGGAGGGGGACGTTTTACTGTATTTGTCCAGCTCTCCATGTTTGGTAATGTACCTCCAAAGCCCTAGAGAGGTAAGTTCTTGGGAGATGAGAGAGGAAGGGCCTGTCTGGGAAGAAAAGGGATTGAACCCAACCAGAAGCAGTCACAGCCTCTTACCTGCACAAGTGATATTCAGATTATAATAATATCTGCAAGTGGCCTCTAATCCCCAATTCTCCGTCTGTGTCTCCTGCCCCAGGGACCATTGGAGACTGGAAGAACACAATGACTGTGGCGCAGAGTGAAAGGTTTGACAGCGTTTTTAAGGGAAAAATGAAAGAGCTGCCTTTCAAGTTCATCTGGGATATTCATGAAGATCTCTAGTGTGGGCTCCAGTTGGAGACAGGTGACAGTACACCACAGGGAATGAAAATATCTCTTTGTCACAGGTGTTCATAAAAATCCATTGTGCTGTGCAATTAAAGATTTGAAACCTGCAAAATTTTGTACTTCTCACATGTGTTTGCACATCATGGTGAAAATCCAGTTCTAAGGAAAGGTGCCCCGTTCTGTCCCAGCTGTCCAGCAAACCTCAGTAACTGAACTGCCCTGAGGCTGTGGGAAAAGACAACACCAGCTCTTAGGGTATTTCTAGACTACATGGCTCTGTCGCCAGAGCCATGTAGATTAGTTTACTAGACATACCCAAATGGAGCGGTGATTTCAATAATCACCACTTCATTTAAATTAAAATGGCTGCCTCGTTGAGCCAATCAGCTGTTTGTCAGCTCAGCACGCTAGTCTGGACGCTCCGCAGTTGACTTCAAAGGCATTTGTCGACTGCCCCGGTAAACCTCATCCCACGAGACATAACGAAGCAGACCAAGAATCTCCCTATAACTTTCAGGAAACTCTCCAGAACAGACTATATCTATTCACGCCTGGGAGGACCCAAATACAGCCCTCATGTTAAAGGGGTGACATCCAGGGAGTTCTTTTGGCGATTATTTAAATCGCCGCTTCATTTGGGTATGTCTAGTAAACTAATCTACATGGCTCTGGCGACAGAGCCATGTAGTCTAGACATACCCGATGTGTCCTGAGTGTCTGTGCTACACTGCCCTAGGTCAGAGCTCTGACTCCAGCTAACACAAGAGCCCCACTCAAGTCTTGGTCACCCTCTTATCTCATACATACTGACCGAAACATACTCCCTGTCCTGAGAGTTGGCCATAGTAGGTGGAGGCCCCTTCTTGATGTCAAATAAAAAACATGTTTTTCCATAAATACAAAGTCTCTTTATTCAACAAAACTTTGGGGGGGTAAAAAAAGAGGTGGGGGGGGGGGAGTATGAAACTCTGGGGAGACTAGGGAAAGGAGGCGGGAGAGGGGAGGAGAGTGGGTGGGAGAGGGGAGGGAGAAACCTGGGAGGGGGGAGCTGGAAGGGGGAAGAAGGGAGAGGAGGGGTTCAGAGGTGGGGGTCTTGCTGGACCAACTGTCTCCCAGCACAGAGGATGCAGGGGCTTTGGTATCCCTGGGGGGATAGGGAGGAGGGGATGGAGAGTGAGGAGGGTGTGGAGGGAGAAGTCGGAGTGGGTAAGGAGTGGGAGGAGGAGCAGTAGCTGGGGAGGCAGCAGATGCTGGAGCGGCAGGAGGCAGCACGCTCTGCACCAGTGTCCGTGGGTGTTGGCAGATGGCATGAGCCTGGGCAAGCAGCTCCCGCTAGAACTACCGATCTTCTTGCACCCAGTACTGCCCTGTGTGGTGCACAGCTCGCAGGGCTTCCAGATGCTGCTTTCGGTACCCCTGCAGTGTTTGGGTGGTGCTGCGGAAAACTTAGGTGCAGGAGCATGTCCCGGTTGGGGTGGTGTGTCCTGCTTGCGCATTGTGCTTCATTTGTATAACCATGTAATGGCGCTATTTCGAGAGAGAAAACAGGGTTATTTTGAGATAAAACCCTTCCCTTGAAATAACCCTTACTCCTGAGGATATTTAAAACCCCTCTTCATTTGCAATTTCGGGTGTCTGCATTTGCATTCCTCTCTTGAGAGAGGAATGGAATAGACATACCCACACTCAGAACAAACTTAAAAGGAAGAAGAGGTTGTGACCAAGTATCCCCACAAGCAAAAACAGGAGCCACCAGTGAATCTTACATATTACAGACCTCTGACAAATTAAGCTACACATCCCCAGTAGCTCCTGAAGTGTGTTGGGGGTGGGGGGGGGGGGGGGGGGGAAGAGATGTCCCCTGCCTCTGTGTAGAGGGGGCTAGTGAAGGGAGGGCATCCTGATGTGTCCCGCCCCGGGGTCAGGAGCGTGTCATGTCTCTTCACACTTGCGAGTGACTATCAGGCCAAGGCCCCTGTGTGGCAGCCAGCTGGAGCCACCTGCCCAGGGGTGGCACAGCACATGCTCACAGGTGCACAAGTTGCTCCGTGATTCATGGTAAGCAAGGCCCATGCGCACGGTCCCTGGTCTCCCTCACTGCCTCCCCACCCCCAGTAAGGGGACAGTGAGGGCACTCACATGTTGTGGCCTCCCCGGATGACCCTGGTGACTCTGCTGCTGGGATGGCTCCGGGATCCTGGCGGCGTGGCACTCTACGTCTCGGCTCCTGCAGCTCCTCCTCCCCGCCGTGGTCAGGGCCCTCTGCTCCCTGATCGGTGCCCCTCAGAGTACCACGGACCATCCCGCCCTCCAGGATGTGGTCCAGGTCACCAAAATAGGGGCAGGTATCTGCCCCTGTTGGGGAGCTGTCCCTAGTGGCCCTGGCATACGCCTGTCATAAATCTTTTATTTTCATGCGCACCTGCTCCTGGGTGTGCATGTGCCCTTTTGTAGTCATGGTGGTAGCTATCCGGCCATAGACGGCTGAGTTCCTCCGTCTAGTGTGCAGATCATGGACGTTGGAGGCCTCCCCCCAAACCTTAATGAGGTCCATAATCTCCGCATTAGTCCAGGAAGGCACCCGCCATCTCCGGCCCCTGACTGGCTCCTGGGAACTGGGGGGCTGGGTGATCTGGGGGCTGGCGCTGGCTGCCCAGCTCGTGGTGGGGCCACTGGGTCAGGGGCAGTGACTGCTGCCAGGCCTGGATCTGGCAGGTGCAGTGTGGCCAGAGTGTACCCCTTTAAGGGCTCCGGGGCTGTGAGGAGAGGAGAGGAGTTTTCCTGGTTTGGTCCAGAGTGGCCACCAGGGAAACTGGGAAGGGCTGGACGCCCCCTATTTAGAAATAAGCAACTACGAAGCGCTTATTTCAAATTAGCTATTTCGAATTTGGTGTTATTCCTCGTAGAATGGGGTTTACCAAATTCAAAATAAGTGCTCCACTATTTCAAATTAATTTCGAAATAGCGATTTGGCTGTGTAGACGCTAGGAAAGTTAATTCAAAATAACAGCTGTTATTTCGAATTAACTTTGATGTGTAGACATACCCACTGAGAGTATCTTCAAGGCTTCTTCAGAACTCCAATGTGGGAAAACTAGTCTCCTTGAGAAACCTCCAGAAGATGGGAAAATTTTATTGAATCAAGTTTGACAATGAACACAAGAGTAACACAATGGTTTTGGTGTTCTAGATTTAGTTTATAAATCCAATTTATTTTTCCTTTTCATTATATCCATCCTTTCCAGGCGAACCAAGGTGCACAGGAGGAAAGACTGGCCTCAAGCTAGGAGACTGCCTGGTTTGTGAAAAGGATGATTAGAACTCTTGTTGGGATAAGAATTTGCATGTAACAAGTTTCTTAGTGTGTTAGGCTTAATTAGCATGTTTTGTTTACTCCATTTTAGTAACTTATTTTGGTCTGTCTGTTGTCACTTGACATCACTTAGCTCTTACTTTTTATACTTAATAAAACACTTTTGTTTATCATCAAGGCCAAGATAAATAATTGTTAATTGGAGAGGCGGTGGCACAGCTGTAGCTCTCTCTCTCTCTCTCTGTCTGTCTCTCACTGATAAAGAGATCAAGCCTTGTGAGATTTCTCTGTGTAAGATTTTATGCTGAAGAAGACAGATTTATTTGGGGTTTTGGTCCCTTTTGCGGGCTGTTCACCTGAATAATGGCAAGGCCCTTTAGCTGAGCCCTCCCAGAGCTAAGTTGGTTCAGTTTCTTTGTTGCTTTATTGGTGACACTGTTAAGTCCAGTTCTGGGCCTTTGCTGGGGGAATCCAGAGCTTCTGGCCTGGCAGGACATGGTGGTGGGAGCACCAGAGGGCAGGTAGTCAGGCTCCGCGGTAGATTGGCATGCCAGGGGACAGCCCCAAGGGGATCTCTGTGATTCTGTGTGTCACACTGTGGCTTCCTATTTTCCTATCTGCAATGTCACTTTATTCTTGAAGTCTCTGTCGCCTAGTATGGTACTGCCCAGGCAGATGAACTGTTCTGCTTTTTTGATGCTATGAATATTACTAGTTGTTGGTGGAGTTTTCATGATATTTGTTTTAACATAATTGACTCTGAGCCCCACGTGACCTGTTGTTATTGTTTTCAGGGGTGTCACTTAGTAGTGCACTATCATCAGCAAATGCCACATCTTCTAACTATTTACCCTGGCATTGAACAGAGGCAAAGGAAAAATCTTCATAGATCACATCTGCATCAGCCTTTGATGTGGTGCCACCATGAGCTAGGCAGTACTTAGCAAGGTGAATATTTAGAGAAAAAGCACTTTTTGCGCAAAAGCATCCTTGCCAATCTAGACGCTCTTTTGCGGAAATACTTTTAACGGAAAAACTTTTCTGTTAAAAGTATTTCTGCAAAATCATGCCAGTCTAGACGTAGCCTTTGTGTGTAGACACGTTATTTCAAAATATCTAATTTCTAATTAACTATTTCGAAATAAAATATTTTTAAATAACACTGTAGTGTAGACATACCCTTACTGAGTTATTTAATTCAGATGTATCCAGGGATTTTGTCATATTGTCATGTTTCGGTTCATACATTTCGAATTCTTCTGACTTTTGTCAGAACTACCTTTTTTGTGATCCTTCCCTAATGATTTAACTTCAGGTCAAAAGTTGGAAGATGTTAAAAGGAAAAAGAAAATAGATCCAGGAAACCTCAGTCAGATTGCACACCAGCTATAAATACTCTCCTCTTATAGGAGTGATTTAGCACCTTCTTTATCCAAGTGGAAAATAGGAGCCTGAACGTGTGTGTTGGAGCAGCAATAACCAAGCAGAGAAGGTAAATACCATTTTGTCGTATAATATAAAACTAAAACATTTTTGAGAGTAAATCTGTGTGCAAATTAAATATCCTGGCTCGTTTTAAACATTCTGTAAGTGTGGAAGGAAATATATGAAAACAAAGGATAGTTACCATGGAACAATATTTACGATATTTAATATGAAATCATATTAAAAAAATTAACACTACCTTTGGAATAGATGCGTTATCATCCTTTCTAACAACTCAAGCCAGTAAACACAGCAAAATGATTATTATCCACATACAGCTCAGCTTGAAGATGCTAAACAAATCTGAGTCAACAAGAAATGTTCGTGCTCTCCTTGCAAATATTAATACAATATTTACTGAGACTGGGAAAGACAGTAAAATGCATTCACACTGTCTTACACAGTTTCTCTGGGGAATGT